GGCGTAGATCAGGACGATATCGTGGAGGCTTCCCAAGCGCCAGACGAGGAGGAGGCGAGGGTTGCCATTCACAAAGCTGCGTGTTTGAAGGACTTCAGCACAGCTACTGTAGTCGGCATGCTTAACTCACCCAGCCTGCAAAGGGTTAGATCTTTTGCCAATGATCTGGGTGTCACAGTGCACGGAAGGCTTATTCAGATCCCTGTCAAAGAATGTGTTTAATACATGCAGCCCCAGCGAGATGCTCAGCTGAGCGCCAAAGTTTTGCCCTGCGGCAGGAGGAGGAGGACGAGCAGGGCCCCCAGCAGATGCGCATTGCATTACAATCAAGCCCCTCTTGGAGCGTGCAGACCGGACCCTGTGGCGGCCAGCAGGTGCAAGGTGTTTCTGTCGTATACAATCCTTGAGGAAAGCTAAAGAGAAGGAGCAAAAGAAGATCAGCAAACAGGAGACGAGTCACCGAAAAAATCACTTGTCGATGTTGTGCAGGGGTGCTCAAGGCTGTCGCCCTGCAAACTGCTGCAAACTGCTATGAGTCGCACCCATCGCATCACCATGCGGCTGACAGCCAAGGAGGGTCATAGACAATGGCATACCTCATCGTTGCAATCATCTTAGCCATCGTGTCATCATGACCTGGGAAGGCCGACAACCATATCGAGCCTGTTTGCATTCCATGTTTCAAGCAGCGAATGTTTGGATCTATGAGTCTATGATCCAGCGGTACCACTTTGTCAGTGTCGGTGGCATTCTGTTGTTTGGGTGGAACTCTCAGGATTCAACGAGGGGTTTCTAATGACCATGGGTGGCTGCAGGAGAAAAAGAAGATTGCCAAAGCTGCGGCAGCGGTCGGCTCAGGGCAACGGCCTAGATGACACAGGTGTGTGCTCCTTCTTGCTGAAAGTAGCATCACAGAGTCTTGAATTATCTTCAGCTAGAGTGCGTTGACAACTCTGAATCAAGTTTTGCTTCGCCCAGCTGGGCTGATCTGGGCTGCGGTTGTGGTTGCGCTTGCGAGCACTCAACACAAGTGATGGGTTTGGGGCAACTGGACAGGTGGCTGCGATACAGGCCAAGGAGGAGGCGCCCGTATGGCGTGATGGCCGAATTTGGGCATTTGACAACATGCTCTTGACGTGTTGACCTCCTTGCTGCTTCGGGATTACACTGTCTTGCAGGGGTTTTGTTCCATGTCGCTTTTTGGAACCTCCAGAAGTTAACCAGCAAATGGCAACTTTTGAAGGGGGAATCTAGTGACCCCTGTCTTGTCCAAAGTCTTGAAGGGTTCCAGTGCCATTCCTTTTGCAAGCAGGGACTGTCTCACGGCGGTCACAAGGCGACCATCTTGGGCCCAGCTAAGGCATTTCGCAGGAGTTGCTGTCATTGCATCGCTAAAAATATATACATATAAATTCCTGAGGCAAACTGCACTTGAAATGGGAAGAACACTTGGAAAGACTGCCGTAATATTATTAGAAAGAGGCTCAGAAGAAAAGAAGTTCGGTGTGAGCGATACATGGTCAGAAGATACAGTGCATTCACAAGCAACAGCAAGCGCAAGTCAAAGAAAAGGAACATTTCTTGTGTGAGTGTGACAGGCATGCCTTCGGTTTTGGTGAACCTCGGAGCATTGGATTGCCCTTGGAATCAGCCGCCTGGTATTATGTTGTAGAACGCAGCGTGCGAGGACAGAGGGAAAGAGAGAGAGGGAGAGAGAGAGAGAGAGAGACAGAGAGAGCGCATGTGCGCGGGATATATTTGTGTTTTGTTTTGGAGGTGGCATCGGCATGTCCAGTTGCACACGTGTGCTGTGAGAGCCCACCTTGGCCAGGGCAAGCCGATCCCTGAAGTTGCAAAAGCTGCCACACAGGCTGCCAAGGCGGGCGGCACGTCATTTACGTTCATGACTAGTGGAAAGTGTGCGCGTGGGTAACATTGCAAATATTGTTCGCTTTTTCATGGCCGCTGTGCAAGTGAGCTTGATGGGCCCTCGACTTTCGACTCTCATAGATAGCATGGTTGAATGGCATGGTTGTGCATGCTTTCACAAGCTCACATGAACGCTGCAAGCCTTCCATGCTAAGCTGCAGGATCCCGTGATGTTCATGTACCCTTGGGTCTACCAGAGGAATTGGCATCTACAGAAAGTTGAAGAGCGACCCCTTGCAACAGCATCCTAACAATTTGGTAGCCAACTGACCAAGAAGCCTTACATTTCATTGGAGCACTATGGGCTATGTATGTATGCAGGATGGGACGCCAGGGCTACTTGTTGGCTCTGCGATTTTTTCCATGATGCTTGCATGTCAGCTTGCTTGGCCACTTGGGGGCATTGACAGTCACATCACAGGGACAACCACCCCCTGGCACCTAGAATGTTTGTCGTGCATCAGGAGCTTCAGGAGATGTTGCTGTTGTGCCACCCTTTGCAGCCCCTTCATTGGCAAGGATCATGCCCGACTGAGCATCTTTCACGAAATTCGAAGTCTTTGCTCCCACCCCACCCCGCCATTTGTGGAAGAAAGCTGAGTGGCGTTATGACTGGAATCCAGTGAGTATTTTGACGCGTCCCTATTTCTCCAAGTGTTTTTTTTTTTTTTTTTTTTTCATGTTCCGTCTCTTCCACATCACGTTATTTCCTCTTCAACATTCACCATGAGGCTAAAAACCGTCGCCGCTAGCCCCGCTGGCAGGCATGGGGTGGCGATGCCCAAGACATCAAGCTGGCAGCTGATACTTGATGCAAGAGTGAGTTGACACTTTTGCTGTTGCCGTTCTGTCAGGGCTTGCAACTCAAACGCATGAACGTTGCACACATGCCACACGTCTCATGTGTGCCGAAGTGACTTTGACTCGGCATGGTGTTGTTTATGGCTTGTAGGAGTGCTACAGTCGAGATGTGACCTTGCTTATTTCGAGATGCTACCCTCAAGTTCGGCAACGAGCTGTAAGCTTCCTGCAAAGTAGGGCATAGCGGGCATAGCAGCTTGGATGAGTTGCCCCGAACTTTCCCCTTGATGGTCAGACCGAAGTAAGCCCATGGCGCAGCAGAGCAGTCGCTGTGCGGTTGGCTTTCTCTGAGGAGAAGGCCCTGAAAATTGCCAAAGGCGAGCGGGCACGCAGAATTGGCCACCTGTACGAGAAGCACATTCCATCTTCACCTGCTTCCACTTGCAACCCCTCACCTCTTCCCATTTGTTGATTGTCCATTTGGCAGATCTCTATGTTCCCTGGACGTGGCAATTTTGCCATGCTCATTAAGTTGTTCATGTCTCACTCCCCCTTGGCAAATTACTCCATATCGCGATTTGTCTTTTTTCAAATGCTGGATGTGACCCAGCCGCCTGGTGCAAGATGGCAAGCACGTGTTGCCCTGCAGTCCTGCGTTTGGCCTCGATCAGGTGAGATCACCGTGGATCCGAATGAGGAGTCCTCTTCCAGCAGCTCAAGCAGTTCCAGCTCTGCGGAGAATGAGGAGGCGCCTTCAGCGCTCTGCCTTCAAGCTTATCATCAGCAAATTGGTGTGGAGTGGGCTAGGCCAATGCAATTTGACCTGAATCCTTGGCAGCTCCAAGCCTCTGAACTATGACCATATCACAAGGGTAGAAATTCGATTCCTTTCGGGTCTCTTTAACCAGCTTCCAAATTTGTACCCTTTTGCCAAGGTATTTGGAGCAACCCTAAGTCTGCAAGGGCAAATTCGTCCACTGTGGCCAGGACTTGGGCGAGATGGACCGGCACAAAGCCAAGATGGATGGCATGGCCGCCATCTACTACTGGGGCATGCAGCTTGGCGCTAGCGGTAGCCACCGAATAAAAGCCTGACTGGGCAGGTTGCGTGTTGTGAGCCCCAATCAAAAACCCGGGTAGATGGAGGTGAGGGATAGTCCCAAGCATAAAGTACAGCCGCCTTGTCAATTTGCAATCGTGGATAGCGAATTTTGATACCAGGTCTTGGTTAATGTCAACCACGCTGCAATTAGGGGAATGTTCCCTCCAACAGTGAGGAATCCCCACTGAAGAGGGAACATGCCTATGATAAATCTGGGGTCAACATTACTCACATGCGGTCCGTCGCGCGTCGCACCGAGGAAGCAAGAGGTTGAGCGCGGCGCCAGTCCAACGGGTTAGCCGCCGCTCCTTTTCGCGACAAATGCATGAGCAGACCGAAGTATGAGACGGATATAACACTTGGAAGACACCAGCTCTTTTGGGATCCTAACACTTGGACATTTTGCACTGACCTGTTGGCTTTGACTTGCTTGCAGCTGATCAACGGTGCAAAGCAGTGATGCTCATGTTATCAACCACCCCTGCCGACTGAAGTGCAAAGGTGGATCACTTTAATTGGCAAAAGTGGCGTGCCATCATGCCCGCATTGATCATTGGTAGCTAGAATGCAGCATTGCGCGCGTAGAGGGGCGTGGCCCCTGTGGATGTGCATCATTGGATTGTTGTACTTCCTTGCATCTTCCGGCCCAATGCCACAGCAATTTAAGTGTACTTTGATTTCTTGTTTTGAACCGCTGCATATTTGAACAGATGTTGTTCGTTCTGAGGGTCAGGCCTGCGCTAGATGTGATTTCGGCGCACTGGTGGCTGCAGGCAGCGACCTATGGGGTTGCACAGGAAAAGGAGCTTTCCATGGCTTGCTGCATCTCGGGGCCACTACATGCCTCTTGCCCCCAATGCCGGCAAGTCATCCGCATTCATTGCATGAAATAGAGTGATGGTGTAGTTGTGTTTGAGGGTGAGGAAGATCAAACAGAGCAGTGCAAGATTCAGTCTCATCAATTTGAGAAAACGCCTTGCTGATGGGGCTCATGTTCTTAGACCGGTCTTGCCTGAAGAGCTGTTCTTTGAAGCTTGATGTACCTTGTTGTGCCATGTCAGGGATATTGTGCCGCCAATCTAACTTCAAACAGTCATGGTCGAAATATTGGCTGCACATGGCACAACGGGAGCCAGCGCTTGACCAGTTCAATGCCTGTCCTGGCCAGGTGGACGCAGGCACCGGCTGTCCAGTTCCGCGCGAAAGGGACCCCCAATGGTTAGGGCCTTCAATGCTCTTGGCTGGCCCTTCCTGACGGGTTTGGCTTCAGGTGTTTGACATAGGAGGCGACGCCGGCCAAGACGTCAGCTTTAAGTGGCGTGAATCTGCAGGACTATGCAGCCACTTCAAGTATACTGTTGATGGAGCTCTTGTGGACATGGAGGCAGCTTTTTCCGAAGTCATGATTGTTGTTTTGGAGCCTTGGCGCTTTCGGCAGACGACGTGGATCCTCGCGCGTAACTTGTTGACGAGCCAATATGAATGCTCTATTGCTCTATGTTGCTTCTGGGGGATGGTTGGCTTATGCTTTCAACCCCTCAGCAACTGCTTCATGCATGTTAGCCGTTGTGGGAGCCTCGCAGTGATGAACTTTTATTAGGGGGCGGTGTTCCCCTCCAAAAGTGTCCAATCCCCACCAAGAGGGAAGGGCCCCCATTATGCCATCCACCAGGGGTTTATTATTGTGGGTTGTCATGTGTGATGACCATCTTTGGCCAGGCAAGCGGCGGACAAAGTGCCGGAGACCTGGACAAATGCCAGTCAGTTCTGGTGAGCCATCAGCATTATATTATAGTTGTTAGCTCTTGGGTGGATACATTTGAGGATGCCGCTTTGAATATGGGTGGATCCATTCTCGGGCATGCACCTTTCCTGCGCAAGCATATCACGAAATGCTGCTTGTCGCTACTTTGGTTGCAGTAGCGTGCAGAAACGTGATGTTGCAGAGTCTGCAGTTTCCTGAATCCGCTCCTCCCGTGAATAGAGGGCGCCCCCCAATTAGAATAAATCCCTTGGAGAGAAACATGCTTACTATTACGGGCCCCTGTTCCAGATTTGGGCTGCCAACTCCCGTGTTTTTTGTTGTTTGTTTTTTCACTTCTGTGCAGGTCCAGTCAGGAGCAACCAAGAGATGTTCCAGAATGCCGCTCAAGTACAGGCTTGGCTTAAACAACTCAAACAGGAAGGGAATTAAATGGAAAGCGCAATGTATTGTTCCTTCAAAGATGGTGCTTGCTGACTGAGGGCGGAGGTGATTTTTCCTGATAGCTGGAGGAGAGATCGGTGGAAGAATTCGCTGGCTTTCTTGGTTCAGTCTTACAGTCTAATGTAGTATTGGGGAGCTGGGATTTTGCCTTTGTAACTTTTATTGTTGGGTAAGGATTAGATTTCATGGGCGTGTGATTCTTGAATGGTAAGGTTTTGTTCTCGGCTTCATATAATTTGGCTGGGTCCACAAATCATATGGCTGATCTTTGGCGTGACCAAAGATACTTAGCCCTTTTGGGAAATTGTTTTCGCATTAAAGGTTAAACCTTTTGCTCAGAGAAGGTTCACCTAGTGGCTTTTCTTCAGCCTACAGGCATGGCAAACATGGAGAGGCCGTTTTGGGTACACTAGGTCAAATTCGAAACAGAAAAAACGTCCAAATACGTTTGCAGCCGGGTCCCTCAGGTTGCGTTTGGGAAGGCGGATCAGAGAGGATCGGTTGTGCTAACAGAGCTGTCGAAGAAGAGCGGCTTCCAAAAATTGCATCAACGCTGTCAATGGCGTAAGCACATGCAAGCGTTGCTTCCGGATGAGTTTCTTGGTTTGGTTCGGTGAATGGCCAAGGCTCTGAGGCTTGAGTTGGAATCTGACTGGCCGCTAGCGCCTGAAAATGGGGGCTGCCGTCGAAAATGAAGGGGGGTCTGAGGGAGGGCCGGAGCAGCCATTTGAAGACTGGATGGGTCATCATGCTGGCGGCCAAACATTCGTTTTGTGGCTACTGCCACAGAAACGTACTAGAGATCGAACAAAGACGGAAGAACTCAGTGATCACTCAAGACATGTCTGTGGGATTGGAACTGCTTGCCACTAGTTTGTCGCAAACCTCAGGTCAGAGGCATCCAAATGCAAGAAGGCCTTCAACAGCACGCATCACAACTATCACAAGTAGTTACCCTCACATTTTGAAGGTGGAGGAACATGGCTTTTACAGGTGCGCTGTCTCCAGTCTCCCAAGTGTAACTCTAAGGGCACAGCCGCAAGCGTGCTTGCAAGGGAGGCACTGGAAAAGTCTGCCTAGCAACAAGTTTCTTGTTGTTTCTGTTTTCAAAACACGCCAACGCGTTTTTTCCCCTCATGCACGCCCATGTGGTGCGGCACACTCCCAGTCAGACCGATTGAATCTCGCAGCTGCTGCCTCACGCGTGTCATGCGCTTGCTGACGTGGACGGTCCAGTGACAGACTGGCTCAAGCCACGCCGCGACCTCGAATTCGTCCCCGTCAGCCATGGCTTTCTCGCATGGTGAGGTGTACAACCCCCACGGCTGCAAATGCATGCCCAGGATGCCAGGCGATAGCTGCCCCAAGGTGCTGGTGGCACCACCGCACTACATCCAGGGGCCAAACATCATGCCTTCTTTGGGCCGGTACGTCAGCAAGCTTTTGGGCTGCCGCAAGGTAGGCATGCTGATCATCCCCTTTGGGCGCATTTTGACACCATCCGCAAGATTTTAGGTGTTTTCAAGCTATCATTGACGATTTTTTGTGTGCCCGTGCACAAAAAGGGGCAAGCCAGCAAAGGGACCGGGTGGAGCCTAGGCGCAAGGAAACATCCGCATGAATTGTCCACACCAACATTTCATCCAATTCGGAGTGTAAATGCAGTGTATAAATGTGAGCAAGTGTGAGTCACAGTGTGAGCAAATGTTGCATGCGGTTGGGATGTTTGAGACCGGTGCAAGGCAGCGCCTGGGAGCCCGGCATCGTGGAGGGCTTCAAGGACCACGGCATCTCCTGGGACGTGCAGACCTTCGACGGGGCGCCCTCCTATGAGGCCGCGCGGGGCGTTGCGGACCTCGCTGCGGTTTCTGAACCTGAGGGTGCAGAAAAGTGCACGGGTCTCATTGTGCGCCGGCTGAAAACAAGGCGTCGCCCGTTAAGTTGTTCATGGCTTGCTTTTGTTGTTTTGCATTCTTTGCCCTGCCTGCCTGCGTGATTCTTGGACCCCTTGTAAGAATGTCTTCTAAGAAGGTTCTACGATTCTAGGAACTTCGTACACTCGTGCATGCCTGCTTCGCTCGCATGCCTGGTGTTGGACAACAGGGCCAGGCTGAAAAGTCTTGCCCCTCACAGAGAAAGGGTATTCTATATTCACTGCATTCGGCCGTGATGTATGCCTTGGCACTTGACAGTTGGCAGGCCGTGGACCACCTGGTGGGCATTTGGGAGAAAGAGGGCCTCGAGGCGTGCTTGTGGGTAGGTACCAAAGGGAGACAATGCCTGCACGTATGAATCTAGGCAAGTTGGCGGAGTTGCTCTTGCAGCACGCCTCGGCCATGCGTTCAAATTTCAATGAGTGCAACATGACCTGACAAGCTTCGACGGGCATGCTTTATTTGCCATGTGCCATGGTTGGCCTCGCGAAAGAAAACGATGCCACAGAGCTGACCTTGCACGGCCAATGTCTCTAGGCGCTTGTGGCAGTGGGAGGTGGCACCTGCGGAGACTGTGCCAAACTGGTGGCCTTCAAGCTGAGCCTCGGCACTTCCCCCGACTTGTGGGTGTTGTTGGGTGTGTCTGAAATCGGGCACCCCTGAGAGGTGTTTTTTTTTCCTGGGTTTGTTGAAAACCACCCAAAACGGCTACCCTCGAACCGTGCGCTGCTGACCGTGCAGTGATACAGCCAGAGGCGCGAAGATGCTGAGTTCTGAAATGTGTATGAAGCAACAGGGTGGCAATCAGATCCTTACTGACCCTTGGTTTAAAGATGTCACCTTGACCAAGCTGAACATATTGTGAAGGGCTCATGCGAGGAGTTTCAGCCATGTTTCAGACGACGGCAGTTGCAAGGAAAGTGCCGCTGGTCAACGTCTCAACCTTGGCAGCTACGGATGCACCTTGCAGCGCCCTTTCCATTATGTGCCTTGCCTTAAGGGGTCAGCGTGCTTGCCCTGCATGCAGCCTTGCCAGTGCTGGCTTAATCTCTTGCACAGTGCGCCATATTGCGCCAATGTTTGGATTGGGATATTCAACTCGCATTCATGGCCATGTGGCACTTCAAGGCGGAGGCAATTCCCTTTTGTCGAAGCAATCGGCAACCACTATATTTGGGAACTTTCGAGGGTTTCATGCAGGCATACTTTTGCCTGCGCGGAGGATCCTTGTGAACCCATGCAATTGTGGTGGAATATATGGCACTAGCCGTTCTTTTCAGCTGACCCCTGTTCATGGCCCCCTGATTTGCCCTGGCTGGTGTCATGGTACCACTTTGCCGTGACATTTGAGGTACACTGTTGAAGGTGCCTACAGGGGTGGCGAAGTGTACCCGCAGTCTCCGAACATCGTGGCAGTGGACACAGCGGTCATAGCCAGCGCTGGGAAGCGCTCACTGGTCAGCGGCTTCGGAGATGCCATGAGTACCTACTATGAGGCAAGGCCAGAGAGCAGTTTTGTTGGGAGTTGCCCCATTCGGTTCCAATCAGTCAAGTGTCATGTCTGTTTTTCCAGCTGTGCAACCTCTCACAAAGGCAAGAGGAAAAGTATGGTCTGCCACTTTTTCATGTGCTCTGCCAACCCCAGTGGGCATTGCCCTTTTCCTCTTGCAAGTGCATCTCAGGCGCGGACCTGCTACGAGAACCCAAAGGGCCTGTCAATGCTGGAGGCAAGGCCAACAGAGACGGCCATGGCGATTGGAGCCTTGTGCGCGAGCTCCGGCTGCAATGATGGCCAGCTTTCTTGCGTAGGTTGCGCAGGAACTGTTGGACATGTAGCTGGCACTTGGTGTCATCATGTGGGCACCCAGAGGTATGTCAAGCTGGATGTCCATTGCCATGCGTATTGATGAGTTGTTGTGACAGAATTGGCAAACAACAATGTCACCCAACATGTGGATTGCATGCGTCACTTTGCGCTTCGCACATCATGGGGGAAAACTGCAGATTTCCTCCCCAACCAACCCCCTCAGGCAAAACTCAACACAAAGTCAAAAACTCTGAGAAAACTCAAAAAACTCAAAGACAGCTGGGAAAAAAGTCAGCTCCCGACTCAGCCTCAAACTGGAGCAGGGGATCGAGTTCAAGGCTGAGTTCTATTAAAGTTTTTCCTGAGTCTTCCCAGGTTGGGAGTTTTCCAGATTGAGTTGTTTTGTTTAGTTTTGAGGGCGGGTCGGCATGGGGGCTGAGTTTTTCAGATTCCTGGGGGCTGAGTTTTTCAGATTCCTGGGGCTGAGTTTTTCAGATTCTTGGGGGCTGAGTTTGTCCATTAAAAAAACTAAAAAATACAAAAAATATAAGATCAAGACTCGTGACCTCTTAGATTTATTGGGGTGCGTTTTTTGTTTTTTTGGCTGATGACATGCAAGCACAGGTTCATTCTCGATCCAATGAAGACTCAGATGCATCCAGACCTGGAAAATGAGCTAGCTTCAAGCTACACAGAAGACAGCCTGTTGAGAACTATTTTGCACAAATATCATTGTTGGACACAAATATTTAGCAAACGTGTGTTTGTAGCTTATTTTTGGATAATTTGCATGTTTACGCATGCCAAGTTTATAATCCTCAGGGTGCTAACTTTTGGAAGACGTATGTTTGGCACAAATCTTCAACACAAGTTGCATACGTATGCAATATTTTGGAAGACGTATGCTTAGCAATCTGCCAGCAGATGTATGTTTGGGACAAATATGATTGTTGTGTCGCAATTCTGAAACACGTAAGTATGGCAAGCACAGCTTGCCATGCATATGAAATCATAAGAAAGGTAAGATATCGCTGATCTATGCAGCTTTCAGCTGCAAGACTCAGCTCTTTTTACAGTTGGATGTTCAATATTTCAATATACGCATGGGCTCTGCCCATGCTCTTGAGAAAAGACAGCTAACACAAACATATTTATCGCATAATGAGCTGCAGCAATTGGAGCACAGCTCCAATCTAGTTGCTTGAGCTCAAGAAGCACAAGATGCAAAGATGAGCACCTGCAACGATATCTGCAGATGCAAATAACATTCTCTGCATAAAGCTGTTCAGCTTTGGAATGAGAGCTTTGGAATAAGATTCTCTGCAGCTATTCATGTTGCTGAAGAGCCCTTGCAACAGTAAAGCTGTTCAGAATAGATTCAAGTAGACACAAGCCACAAGCAATTGCCCGTGATGAGATGTTACCTGCAGAAGATGAAATGAGAGATGAGAGAAATTATCTCCAGTTACCTGGAGTTACCTGCAGAATATCTTGGAAGAGGCTTATGTTCTGTTGATGCACATCTCATATTGATGTCTTGCATCAATAAAGCTTGCATCAAGAAAGCATCAACAAAGTATTGTCTTCAGATGATGGCCTGTGTGTTTTTTGGTTTTCTTGGTGTTTATGAGCAAAGGCACCAACAAAAACAGAAACACAAAACAGACCCATGGCCCTGAACTAGCAGATGCAGATGATGGGTTGTGTTGTTGTTGTTTTTTTGTTTTTGTTTTTTGTTTTTTTGTTTTCTTGGTGTTTATGAGCAAAGGCACCAAAAAAAACAGACCCATGGCCCTGAACTAGCAGATGCAGATGATGGGCTGTGTTTTTTGTTTTTTTGTTTTTTTGTTTTTTGTTCTTCTGGGTTTTTTTGGTTTTTCTGTTTTTTTTGTGCAGAAAAAACTCAGCCCCCAGGAATCTGAAAAACTCAGCCCCCAGGAATCTGAAAAAACTCAGCCCCCATGACGACCCCTTCTGTTAGTTTTTGCGTGTTTTTGCAAATTCCTGGATTTGCGGCCTGTGTGGGCGAGATCAGGTCAAGCAGCTAGCTAGTCTTAGTGCGTGAGGCTTGCTGGAACCTGTGTTGACACTAGCAGCGGCCAACATCAGGATATATGCCAGGTCCTTCCCTACAGACTGATGCCGCAGACGCCCAGTTTGCAGAACAAGAGCTCCACGATGTTGATGTGCTATTGTTTCTTGCTCAAACGAAAAACTGCTGCAGCCGCCTGAAATACCCCGCCCGGACAGATGAGTCAGTGTTTTTGCAGGAAGATGCTCTACGAGAACGCCCAGGAGGCATTGCTTGCGGTGGAGGCCAAGCAGCCGAACGAAGCCCTGGAGAAGGAGCCGTCGAAAAGGGGACATCGTGCTTTATGCCAGTGTAATGCCCATTTAATTTGCCGAGAGGCGGCAGTTGTCCTTTTCAATGTCCGTTGACATGCAACTCTTTGTTTGCTTAACTTTGTTTTGCTGCCTGAAAGCGACCGCGTTGAAACGTTTTAGCCCGCCATCATCGGCTTTGGCCCAGCCAGAAGCTGCCTTTCTCTGATGAGCATTGGCGATTGCATGGACACACTCTGTGACGGGCAATGGGCCACGGATATCTTGCGTAGAGGCCTCCATTGCTGCTTCATTGATGTGACAGGGGCAACGCTTCTTGCCCATTCGCCTTAGCCACGTGTTGGGTAAGAAAGCGCAAGGTGGTGGAGGCCAACACGCTGCTCAGTGGCTTGGGCTTCGAGTCGGGGGGGCTGAGCGCCTCCCATGCGGTGGCGCAGGCACAGTCCGGGAGCCGGGGAGTCCAGGAGGTTGAAGATGGACTTGCGTGTTTTCGAGACCCTTTGACCCTTTTTTTGGGGCGGTTAAAGAGGGAAACCAACCAGCAGGAATAACTTCATTTGTTTTTATTCTTATGTTTTTAATCTTTATTTAAATAAATAAATAAATATATATATATATATATATATTGGGGGTCAAGTTTGAAATGGGAAACCAACAAAAAACCCTCCTTGAGAAGGGGTGGTCCCAATTTTCACACATAGCCACATTGTATGGTTTTGGCACGTTTTGGCAAGAACACGCAGAAAGCCGATAGACAATTTGCGTTGTGCACTGGGAACTTCTCAAAAATGAGCTTGTTGAGCAGCGGGACTGCCTTTGAATTTGCAGGCCAGAGATCCATTATGGTCCAGTTCTCATGTTTGGTGTTTTGGGTTTGGCTGCTTTGGCGGCCAGAGCGTTGTCAACAATCGCATGCGGAGCTTCTCAAATCTGCGCAAGTTGCCAGAGAGCTGGGTGACGTGCCGGCAGGCACTGTCATGGGTGCACAGCGTGCACGACAACTTGATGCATGGCGAGATGGTGGCCATTGGCTTGCTCACCATGCTCACTATGGAGGACATCAAGGGCCTCCCGGGAAGGAAGGACGAGTATCGCAAGGCAGCGCTCAAACAGGCATTTAAGGATGTCTGATCAGTGAATCAGTCTTCATTTGTTAGGCTCGCGGGCCAAGAACGGCGGCACAGTGCAGGCCAAAGGCCAATAGCTGTTTGCGTCTCTGCTAGGTGGCCGAGTTCTTCTCCAAGGTTGGCCTTCCCGTGTGTTTGAAGCACGCCTTTTTCGACCCCAACGATCAGAAGGCCTGTCAAATACAGGTCAGAGCTTTGCCTTGGCATCCCCAAACCCTTGCTAGTTCTTGCTTGGAGGACGGAAGGGAGCCATGGCAGTCACGTGGGACTTTATTGCATTTTATTGCCCAGAAGAGAAGACTCCGTGCAATCAGGCAACCAGTAACTGCCTTTGTTGGCTTGCAGAGAGAATTTAAGCACTGAACGGCCAGAGAATGCACTGCTTAAATGGAGGCGATTGATACATTCACGCGGGTTACCTTGGACCAGTGGTTCTGCCACAACGAGCCCTTCCCCGTCTCCGAGGAGAGAGATGCCGATTGCGCCAGGTCCATGGTTAGCCAACATCAGCAGGGGAAACAAGGCTGACATCCCGCTTATGCCTGGTTGCTCGCACGCTTGATGACTGGTGGGGATACTACCACAACAATGCCATTAAAACATGTAGTTCCGTCAGGTTTCCCCCAGCATGTTAGATGGTAGTTTAGGATGCGTATTCATGCAAGGTATTAGTATGTGTGTTGGCGCCTACATGCGCCTTCAGGATTTGATCCTGCAGAGCGTGATGGAAGCAGATAAGAAGGGCAAGGCGATAGTGTCCGAGTTGGGCGATGCAGCCTATCGAGCCATCCACGGTGGCCTCAGCAAAATCTGAAATGTGTTTCTCGTGAATCTTTGGACAGGAAGGGGGCGCAGGGTCACTTTGCGCATGGTTGTTACTTTCGCAGCTTGTAGTGCGCCGGCAAGGAAGCTTTCTGAAACGGGCGAGCCTTGCTTGCGTGGACCTGGCCGCACCAAGATTGTACAGTTTTGCGGGTCGTAGAGTCATGGGCTTGCTTTTGAGGTCAAGCCTCCGTTCCGCATGAGCATAGGCTCATAACCCGGTTGACCAAAGGCTTCAGCCTTGCTGAGGCTTTGACTCCCGGGAAATTTAATGCCGTTGGAACAGGCTTAGGCATTTCCAATAGAGACGCGCGGTAGGCCTGGCTGAAGAAAAGCCAGCTTTCACAGGTGTGCTTAGTTTAACAGCGAGGTTTAGCTGGCAATGATTTGTAGCAAAAGCATGTGTATGTGCTTGAGCTGCCGGTCGAACCAGTTGGGCTTCTCAGTTCGTGTTCAAGTACTCAAGCACACGTTTCCCGTTTGATTCTGCCAAGCAATTTGCACCGGATCTGACTCCCAGCTGAGGCGGTTTGCTCAGCTTGTGACAACTTGCTCCGCAGGCATCGCAAAGAGTTCAGCGTTCAGATTCGAGGGGTAAGCTTGCAAAAATCAGCATCGTATCAGGCTTAGAAATTTGATTTCAATGGATGGGACATGTCGACTGGCCGGTGTTGTGCATACTGTTGACGTTTCTGCGTTTCACGGCCCTTGTTTTTGCTACATCTTTAATTTTTGCTCGCTGTCCGCCATGCAGTTGGCACCGGCTGCAGGCTGGGTGCGTAGTCTGACAAGAGCTTTGGGGTGCGGGGCCACGTCGAATTTGAGGTTGGAGGTTCGGACATGTCCAAACCCCGTCGCTCCTTTGCAATGCTTTCGACAATCAATCCAGTGGGTATGTGCCAGGTGGGTCAGAGGATTGGGACCGGGGGTGACTCACAGTACACTTCCAACTTGGCCAAGGAAGCGCGGACCGCGGAAGAAGACTAGCGGTTCGCAAAATTGCCTCAAGCGAGTTTCAACTGAATCCTTCCATGCGCATGTTTTTTGTTCGGCGAACCTGCTTTCCAATCCTGGGGCAACGCACGGAAGTCAGCATGCCTTCGCTCACTTGTCCAAGTAATTTCTGACCTGTTGGTTTTCCTATTTGTTTTCCGTCACGCTCTCAAAAGGTGATTGATTACCTGATGACCTTCAATTTCTGAGTCCTGAGTTCAACCCGCAACCCGCGATTCACCTGCAAAAAATCGGCAGGTCCAGCACCTGTGGCACCCGCCGTGCCCAGGCTGCTGAGGCCTGTGCGGATCGGCCTTATTCCCCTCCCCTCCCCCCCAATTGAATTGTATAGCCATCCTGAACTCGCAAGAGCCGAATCAATTGGTTTTTTGGCTCTCGCAGAAAAGCGTGCTTTGCAGCTGCACTGGTTAAGAACCCTGTAGAAAATGAGGGGGATTGAGGGAGAACTGTTCAACATGTGTTCTGCACTCGCTAGCAAGAAGACCAATTGCAAATCCTTGCGCAACAAAGCACTTTTTTTGTCACTCGCAAGTGAGTAGTGAATGTGAGACTGGAGCGCCCACGCCAGTGAATTTCTTGTTCATCATGCCTTGCTAGCTTGAAGCGCCTACTGCAACGTGTTGCGCTCGCCTTGCTTGGTTGCTTGGCAGAAGGGCCAGGAAGATAACGCGCCGCGTCAGGCATGCTGAACAGGAACGGCACGGGCCGGAGCCCCTGGCAATGTGACACCAAGGCTAGGTCAGCAGGGTGTGCCAAGAGTGTGGAGATGAAACTCGGCCCAAGCAACGCGATTGGCTTCTAGTGAAACGGCATGGTGGCAGCCAATGCTTGGATTGTGGCAGCGTCAAATAAATCTTGCAAGAGGCTGGTCTGTTGCAGTTTGGCTCAAAGAAGGTGCCGTAACGCCATCAATAATCAAGGCCATCCTTGATTTTCAGCAGAGGCATTACCAGAATGTGCACTCTATCAAGCGAATTGTGTAAGTTCCTGGCAGGGCACAATTTGTGGTGGCTGCATCTTTGCAGATAGAAGAATGAAACCACCAATCTACGTTTTTTTGCGGGTATAGCCCCGCGCCAAGCTTTGAGAAACAGCACAGCTGGGCAGCTTGCTGACGGCGGCAATGATTGAAGCCCGGGGCTTAAATGCAGTGCCAGTGGGCTCTTGGTGGCCCCCAATTCTCCAACCGGTGCATGAACTTACCCAAGTAAGAATGCAGCGTGAACGAATGCTGTCAGAGAGCTTCTGCTTTGCGGCGGCTAGGCAAGTGTCTGGTTGCCACCAATGACAAGCTCATGAATCTGGGAAGTTCAAACAAACATGTGTAGCGTCATAGTTGGCTCGGGGATCGTGTTGAACCATGAGAACCTGAAGGAGCTTTGCGCTCACAGGCACGCCTTGTGTAGGTGCGTGCAGATGCATGGAGCGCGGATCGGCCGAGACATGGCATGATCATGTGCTCACTTTTGCGCCTTGACATGTTTCTGCATTTACATTGGATTCATTTCTTGCAGGCCTTAGCGGCCTCATCTTTGGCGGCTTCCGCCCAGGCCTGGCAATGCAAAGCAGAGGTTCTGCCACACAGTCGCAATTCTTCAAAGGGAACCTGACGCTATGGACCTGCGTGACGGAAAAGAACGAGGGTCCTTTGGAGGCCAAGGTTTCAGGCAGCAAAGACTTAGCATTGAACCAATAGATGTTCAATACGTAAATCTATATACACCGTACATACATACAGATTCATTTATGCATAATATGTGCATGTGTGCAAGTATGTGTGCATGTATGTATGCATGTATGTATGCATGCATCAAGCTCAACTTTAGGGAGTCTTTCTGGGGGGCGCCTTGCGCCATCTCCGACATCACTCTACAAATGATGGCCCCTATGGAATGTCCACTCTGCACATGTAGGGCTGCCGTGAGTGGGATAAGAAGGAGTCTCGGCGTCCTTGTTTCGGAGGTCCCCTGCAAGTCGCCCTCTTCACCTGTTGCCCTCCTTGTAGCCAGCGGTCAGGGCGAGCTGCTTGATGTCCTGGTTATTGGTGCTGGCAACTTGGCTGATGGTGGCTGTACCGTGGTTCATGCAGGGCCAATTCGTTTGATGAACTTGAACAGGCTCAGGCGCTTTTGCGCGACATGAACCTGCCTCCATGAGCCAAGGGCAAGCGGGGATGTCGGCAGCCCACGAGCTGGCCAAATCAGGACTGACCACTTGAGCAGCGGCTCCTGGCCACAACATGCAAGTGTCTAGTGCCCAGCAAGTGTGTGCACAACCCCATCCTGGCACGCATCTTGGGCTGCCACTTTGCTTGCTTGCAGCTCAACAGGATTGCTCGTGACACATCTTTCGAGAATGTCAAACCCTGCGCGACGCAAAGCCACAAAGCACGAATGGAGCGATGCGCCTTCAGGACTTACCTTCCGCGTGCTGGAAGCCACGGATCATGCGCTTTGGCCACGGTTGGGCTGAAAATTTTTGAGTGAGCAAGTTTGAGTTGTGCAGCATCCTGGCGCCTGGGACAAACCTAAGATTTGGGGTGGGTCGGCCAGACACCAGCATAGGGTTACTTGCTTCATTCCCGTCGAACTACGCAAGGATTGTTCGTTCCTACGTCTCACGGTTGCCACGGATTACACTGCCTTCATTGTCAAAATGGCAACCGTGCCACATCAAACCTGTTGAACTTCTGACATCTTCAAGCCCTCTCACGTATTCAAGCTGGAGATTGGCCTTGCTGCTGGGCTGACACAAACTCATTCATTTCAGCCATCGACATTCTCATTGGTGCAGTTAGAGCTCAGACATGAACTCAGGTGGGCGGACGTACGCGCAATGTGGACGTTCGCACTGGCTGCATGGCTAAAGGTATATTAGAAACTGCCCTTGTGCCTTTCGCAAGTAGCAATCTGCAATCTGCTGCCAGAAGCAAGAGTCGATGCGTGACGTGCTTTAGGACGTTGGGGTGTTACCTGAAGCTTGAGAAGCAAGCCGTTGGTTGAGCGCTCTCTCAATAGCGAGGCCAGATGGATGTGGACACTGACGATGTCATCGAAATTGGGGGTACCTGGCTGAGCCCGGACCACACTGCAGCGCTGCAACTGAGTCGCGAGCGCCTCGCACGATCTCTATTGAATATGGATCGAGAAACCACTGCGCCAGGCTGAGGCAAGGGATATGAAGGTTCCACGTTACCGTCCCGCTAAGAACAGGTTGCAGTGTATTGGCTGCAGAGGCCACACAATAAAGCTGCCTTTTTGCACGCTAAGCCTAACGCTGTCATTTGCATTAGGCTTGGGGTGGAAGCCTTTAATGCCAGCTTCGTGCCGGACTCTGCAGACTTCTCGGTGAAGGACGAGGCAGGGGCTTTGGAGCTGGTACTATGCATGTGCAGGTTTAGGCAGGCGGAGGTGATCAAGCTCAGAATCAAGCAAGCTCCATCCACACTTTGTGATTCCGAGCTGTGTGGGCCCATCCCTTGATACTTTGACTCCCAGGATGATTGGCCCTGGTGGTTCTGGGGCTCTGACTACCCAAAAGATCAGAGGCACCTTCTTCGGGAGCTGCTTGGCATGCAAGATCCCTGGACGTGGCATGTGAGGGACCCATTTTTTGGCACATGCCTATCCACCAGATTTTGGTTTTGTCTTTCCGAGAACGGCTATCACGCCGCGTCACGCAAAGCACCTCTCTGAAGCGGAACGCCTCGTGTTTGAACTTCTTGGGTTGCCCGTTGCCAAGTGGATTTGGCTCTCTAGATTGGCATGGATTCGGCCTAAAATGTCCTACAGGTGCTGTTGCAGTTTGCATGAGGCTCCTTAGGGTTTAGGATTGGAGGCTGGTTGGTTGGTTGCTCGCATCCCCAGCATCACCTGCCTCACTTGGACCTCTGCGACTTGGTTCGGCTTTGGTGACAACTGAGAGTTGCTCGGGTTGGTAGGCTGAGCTTTTTCGGCTGACTGAGATCTTAATGAGGGCGGTTCTGGGTTGGTTTGGGGTTGAATCATTTTGGGTTCGGCAAAGGGATGATATCTAGGTTGCTGCTATCCAGGCAGGCAGATACCAATACATATACATGTACAAACAACATGCAGCTGCACATTCACATGCACATGCACATCCATCCACCCAGCCGCCATCCATCCATCCATCCATCCATCCATCCATCCATCCATCATTCCATTCCATTCCATTCCATTCCATTCCATTCCATTCCATTCCATTCCATTCCATTCCATTCCATTCCATTCCATTCCATTCCATTCCATCCATCCATCCATCATGCATCCATGCATCCATCTATCCATCCATGCATCCATCCATGCATGTAGGCATACACACACGCACACACACACGCATAGACTGACAGACAGACACACAGACAGACATACAGACAAACATACAGACATACAGACATACAGACATACAGACATACAACCAAACAAAAAAGCAACCAAACAACCAACTAAAGCACAAGCAACCAAAACAATGTGCACACAAGCAAACAAACACACACACACACACCACACACCACACAAACACACACACACAGACACGCACAGACACACAAAGACACACACACACACACACGGACACACGGACACACAAAGACACACACACAGACACAGACACATAAAGACACACACACACGCACACACACACACCCACACACACACACACGCGCGCGCGCACGCACGCACGCACGCACACACACACACACACATGCAAACACACACACACACACCACACACCACACACCACACATCACACATCACAGAACACACAACACGCAACACAACACACAACACACACACACAACACGCGCACCCACACACACACACAGGCCCTTACACACCTTCCAGCACGTACGCACCCCTCACACACACATTTACAAACACACACACACATAGACTCCGACACACACACACACACACTCACACAAAGATACTGTACAGGCACCTTTACACACGACTATGCGCAAATACACATCCTTCACACAGCTACATAGCTATACTCAAACATCCACGAGCGCGCACAAACCGTATAGACGTTTCCGCCTGCACACACACACACACACCTACCGACGCGAACAGGTGCCAATTGCTACACACGCAGACATTCACGCAACCCAAACCCACGAAAACACAGACACATACACACGCGCGCACAAACACACACAACCATGTTCGGCTTGGGCAGATGGCAATTTAGCCCAGGTCGGTGTTTTTCTCTGGCGGCCATCGTCGGCTCTTCCGCAGCCCGGCGCAGCTGCCGGACCTGGGGATGCGCAAGGCTGAGGACTGACACGCGTGCGGATCAGTATGGCTCTGTCATCCTCGTGGATGATCAAGGGGTGCTTCCTGTGCCATGAGCAGACTCCACCCCGTAAGAACCAATACCCTAAACAAGAAGGTTGCAATACCCTAAGTGTCCACCATACCTCTATCAAGATTTGCGAATTCTGGTTTCCAGTGTTGGGCTTTGAACAGTCGTTTTTCGGCGGTCGGTGTGCGTGCGTGCGTGTTGTGTTGTGTTGTGTTGTGCTGTGCTGTGCTGTGCTGTGCTGTGCTGTGCTGTGTTGTGTTGTGTTGTGTTGTGTTGTGTTGTGTTGTGTTGTGTTGTGTTGTGTTGTGTTGTGTTGTGTTGTGTGTGTGTGTGTGTGGGTGTGTGTGGGTGTGTTGTGCGTGCGTGCGTGCGTGCGTGCGTGCGTGCGTGCGTGCGTGCGTGCGTGCGTGCGTGCGTGCGTGCGTGCGTGCGTGCGTGCGTGCGTGCGTGCGTGCGTGCGTGCGTGCGTGCGTGCGTGCGTGCGTGCGTGCGTGCGTGCGTGCGTGCGTGCGTGCGTGCGTGCGTGCGTGCGTGCGTGGGTGGGTGGGTGGGTGGGTGGGTGGGTGGGTGGGTGGGTGGGTGGGCGGGCGGGCGGGTGGGTGGGTGGGTGGGTGGGTGTGTGTGTGTGTCTGTCTGTCTGTCTGTGTGTGTGTGTGTCTGTGTGTCTCTGTGTCTCTGTGTTTTTGTGTCTCTGTGTCTCTGTGTCTCTGTGTGTGTGTGTCTGTGTCTGTGTCTGTGTCTGTGTCTGTGTCTGTGTCTGTGTCTGTGTTTGTGTCTGCGCGCCAGGGAGTTCTAGGTGGAAGGATTGGCCAGGGTCGCGGTTTGCATCACAGTGTGACAGTCACTGTCCAGAGCAGCTACGGACCAAGGGAACCTGATAGGATTCTGCGGATGGCGGTTCCCTTTCCCATTGGCCAGTGACGTGCTAAAGTCGCAAGTTGTGTGCTTCTTTTGAAAAAGAACAAAAACGATGGCAACACCCGATCCGGCAAGAGGTGAGAACTCGCGGGCGAGAGCCCACAAATATTGGACTCCCTTCAGCTGCGGGTGGTACACTGTTTATCCGAGAATGAGATTACTTGGTGAAGAAAACCCTGGGCACTGGATCCCGACAGGTTGCCCATTGAGTCCAGGTGGCTAGCCATGTGAGGAGCTTCTGCGGCGGGCCAGCAGGGGACTTGGAGACAAGCGCCTTGCCCGTTTGGCCACTCGCCCATTGCCGGGTGAGCAAATTTCAATCATTCCCGTTGAAGTGGCAAACGTGGCTGGAAGCTTCTTCCTCAGGTTTGGACAAGTCCGCAACTTTGTAATCATTGGCAATACACCCACCACCCAAATTCCAATGGGAGCAAACTCGACTTCAATTGGCTTGCCCCGCCACCCAGAAAGTCAGGGTTTACGTTGCCAACATCAACAGTCCCCAGTTGTTGTTTTTTCCCGGGTACGTTTGTTGCACCTCAGCTTCCTGTTTGTTTTGCATGTGCACTTCCACGTGTGTGCATTTTTGAAACCACATGTTGGGCAAAGATGGACTTTCGCGAAATCTGGGAAATTCAGGCGGGGGCAGAGTGGAGGCAAAGAGGCGGCCTACTCGGGCACATGCACTTCCACGTAAGTATTGTTGGGGGTGTGCAAATGCACTTCTATGTAAACGATCGGGTGCTCCAAAACTGCAGAACAGCGTTCTGATTTGAGCGCTCTCTGATAATAATGCCCCAGGCAGGGGGAAAAAAGGATTGTGTCAGGTTGTTAGGCTGCGACCTTGAGCGTTCCACAGGCGCTCTTTGACAAAGCAATTTCGAAACCAGACATGAAATGCAATGCTGCTATGCGCCTCCATGTTTGCGACATGACAACGTACACGTGTTCACTCATGTTCACTCCCTTGATTGTTGAAAGGGTTTTGGAGAGGCCCTTTTTGCCAGTTTGGGGAGCCCCTCAGAATTGAGGCGCTCCCGTTTGTATTTCAACAAAGAGACTGTGCAGTTCCATGGTATGAACTCGGAGACCAACATGCAGGAACTTCCATGGCTTGTTGTTCAACGATGTCTAGCTTTTGGGCCGAGCTTTCAGTTCCCCCTGGGCCGCTATCCCTGATTTACAATCCTTTGTACCTTCCCCTCCAGTTTCATGGGTGATTGGGGTGTGCCTGAACATTTCCTCCAGCATGGCAGGTGCTGGCGTTCCAACGGCACGTTTCCGCTCTGGCGCCTCTTGGACAAGGGCACCACCTGGTCCAACTTGGGCGCTGGCTTGCGAAGCCCTGACGCTCACACGCAAAGAGGGCCCCGCGCGTTGAATCGTTGTCCGAAATGCTTGAGTGAGGTAGTGCAGCGACATGCAGCAGGAAACTTACTAGTCAGGGTGTCGTTTTTACAGCGAAACAGCTTTCTTTTGGTGGGATCCCCTATGGGGAATGTCAACTGATTGTCTTCCATTGCTCCTTTGTGCAAGCGGCCTTTGAGGATGCGCAGCAGGCGCTGCGGAATTGCATCCGAACAGCAGGGATGGGATGGGATCGCTTCTCTTGGAATGGCTAGTGGCTGCGTGCGTTTGTTTAGCAACAATTGCCTGGCGTTCCTGAGCCAAAGTAACGCAATCAAAATCAAACGCATGGAATGTGCTCTACGCCGGAATGGGTTGGCCAAGGTATCCATGGCAAGAATGCGCAGGAGCCTGAGGCAGTGTCCTTCCTTTACAACATGCCGCTTGTCGCAACCACCAGCTGGTTGAGCCCACGTTTAGCTTGGGATGCGCGCTGAGACAGATTCAGTGGGGCCGCTGCCCCCGTTCCGGCAATCAAGCAGGTATCATGTTTGCAAAAAGCGCAAGTTACAGAACGCCCAAGGCAATCATTTGAATATCAGATGCTTGTGCTTTTGGAGAATCAATATCCACAGATGCGTGTACGTCAATTGATCGCATTCAACGGTCTGATCATCACGGCTTCCCCAGCTGCAGTTCACTTTCCGACAATATTTGGGCTTCAGCATAGATGTACTGCTGCAATGATCCATTCAACGCAGTCATGGTAACCTGGGATGATTCAGAAGCGGAGGACGAGTGTTGGTCCGAAAGCAGGAGGTGGACATGAGCCCCCATCAACCTTGTGGTTTTCCTCTTCATTTCCTTGAAAGCCCCAAAAACACAGACCCACATGGGAATGGGAGGCCTGGCCTTGAGGCTGTCCTTCAGCGGCTGCAACAGCAAAGGCCCCGACTCCCAGTACCGCCTCCGCGGGGGCACGCAGGCGCTGCCGCTGCGCCTGGCCCGGCGCTTGAAGAGCCAAGTGCTGCTGTGTGCCGGCGGCATATGGCCGGCCAATCGCAGGGAGGTCGAGCACGTGGCTTGAGGTGACCAGGATGTTTCACAAACGTTGGGTCTGAGTGGTCTCCCTGGGCTAAATAAATGATGTGATGGGGAGGAATCCTACTTAAATCGCATTTAACGTTGCTGGCTTTCCTCGCCCCTGCGAGTTTTGGAGGCCTCGCACCTCGCTTTGGGCAGAAGCAAGGCAGCGGCTCGAACAAGAAATCCACCCCACCACTAAAGCCTACGGAACTCTAAACGACCGGGTATCCCTTGCCGTCCCTTGCCCATCTCCAATTATAGTTGCTTTGCCGCCCAGGGACCACCAGGTGATCGGAATCAAGTCCAGCGAGGCGAGTGCCGAAGACATGCTGAAGCCTTTCCCCCCTGTGGGTCTATGGCCTCAAAATATGATGTTTTCCTTTGAAGCGTTCACGATGTGGACACAGGTGGGGGCCGGGAGGCCGGGTAAACCTTGTTCTCGCAATGACTTTGTTTCCTGCGAACCTGATGATTCGCCATCTCTGTAGTACGTTTGAATTATTTGCATTCTGCCTACATCGTGTGGATGTGGTTGAGGAGTTGGTTGTGCCGGTTGGCTGCGCTCAGCGTTTGGCAGGACGAGGTTCTGGTGTCTCTTCAGAATCGGGCACCAATGCGAGCCCGCACTGCTATTCTTACTGGCCCACCGCCAGCAATCCTGTCTATCGACTTCGACCCACCCTTGGACGGTGCAAACGCGCAGTGGTTGCAGCGCATGCCGATGGGCACCTCATTGAAGCTCGCAGCTTGACCAGTTTGGAAAGTCGGCGCCTGTGCCGATTTGAGCGTTATCCTTTTTTGGAGGGAACCCTTTGGGGGAATTTGCAAGATAAACCAAAAGGCAAGAACTCCCTGTTTTGAGAGAACCATGTGTGTGCTGTTCTTCCGTCACGGCCTTGTCTTGCTGGCCTCTTTGCGCCATCAGCTCATTGGCTGAGGCAGCAGTCTACAAGGAAGGCCCATGGTGGAGAGAGATTGGCCTGCGCCTAAGAGCGATCCTCTTCGCCGGACATGATCTTGATGTATTTTATTTGTACATAAAAGCAAGTGCTTTGGTTGTTTGTCATGCTACGTTCTGCCAATGGGCAAATACCAGCAGATCGTGGCAGATGTCTTTGGTTTTGATGCATTCGGTGGCCATTTTACGTTAGGTTGTTGAGGCCATGTGGGCATGGCTTAATCCCATCAAGTCCGTTTGTGCGGCCTATGCTGCATCCATCAGACGCAGCGGCCGTGTCTCAGGTCTGCAGGGAGACATCCTGGCCACGCGTTTGCCCCAAAATTTGTCGCTGCCGGAGCCGGACTCGGACCTTCCTTTGTCACTTGGCTTAGCAGGTTTGGCTAAGCCTAGCAGCAGTCGTACGTGTCCCAAACATGTCGAATAGCGGTACTGCAACTTAATGTTACCCCCCACCCCACCCCCCACCCCAGCCTAGTTTGCTATATCATTTGCAACCGCAAACCCATGCATGAGGATGTTGCTGAACAGTGACTAGGGCCATTTCGTCTATGGAAATCCCGAGCAGTACTATGGATTAAAATGTTTCAGTGTGTGTGCGGCTGGCATCGCCGTTCGGCTCAGGTTTGTCCAATGCATGGACCACTCGCCCTACTCGCAGGCTCTGGGTGTCATTGCCACTCAGCCATAAAGAAGGTGTGTGTGTGTGTGTGTGTGTTTTTTTGCGGGGCACCCCTTTTTGCTTGGGTGACAAAGGGAAACCAAAAGGAAACCACCCCTTCGTGGGGTTCCCTTATTTTGAGACAGATCCAGATGTCACGTTTGCCCGGTGCAATTCGACGCTTGAGGAATGTTGATGATTCAAGCATACATTTGACAGAAAGATGCTAAGGCTAGGGAAGCAATCATTGCGCAGCGGTGGTCGCAGCTTTCAATGCGCTATGATTCCAAACGGGGAACCCCCCCCCAAGAAGTGCGAGGTGGACATAAACACTGTGTGAATGATGCCCACCAAATCCCTTATTCAGATTCACACCGTTGTCATACTCTGCGCACTCTTCGGCTTAATCCGCTGACCTCGCAGAAATTCGCAGAAGCAATCTCACCAAATCTTCAAGTTGTGGGGTTGCTGGCCAGCCACTCGAGGTCTGCTTCATGGAGGGTCGGCAGAACCTCTACTTTACTGGGCTGGCACCTGCTGAGCAGCGGCGGCTCTTCTTGAACTTCTTGTTCCATAGCTTTGGGACCTCCAAGGTGGGACGAAATAGGCTTGAGCTGGTCACAGACGTAGACCCTGCAAACGATGGGGGTGTCCACGGCGGTTTTTGTTTGGAGCCGGGTTGCAGGCGCACGAACATGGCGAAAGAGAGGGTCACCAGACTTCTTTGGGACTTGGAATGGTTGTTCTTATTCTGCCTTAGCAAGGTGTTAAGGATTGATCCAACAAATGCAGCAGCCATGCTTGCAGCTTGTATTTAGCTAGCCCGCCTTTTTCGAGTTGTTTTTGTTCGACAAGCCTTGCGCCAGTGGATTGCTTGCAGGCGCCCTTGCCGGAGTGTGGCCGAGCAGTCTCCATGTTCGGCATTGTTTTAATGTCTTGAACGGAAATCAGGATCTCAATATGCTTCAGCGTTGCGCGCGGTGCATTCGTATTGGATGGGTGAATAGCTGAGGCTTCACGAGGCCCCAGAAGAAGTTGACGGGAGATTAAAGCGCGGGCCAAGAGCTTCGCATCTTCGCTGGTGAAATTATTTCCCAAAGGGGACCCCCAGTTCATGGTGTGCAGGGAAACCAACAGAGAGAAAAGCAGCAAACCGGCGGCTCCCCAGTTTTGATGTCGCCCCATATTCCGAGCTCGCAGGCAATTGACCTGAATCCCGACATCGTTGCGCACAACTGGGCTGAGCCTTGGTTGGGCACTCTGGGGTTTCCTTGAGTGTTGGGCATCAGACCTTCGCACACCCACACACAAACACGTGTTTGAGTGCGGGTTGTCGTGTTTCTCTATTGTTGACTTCCTTTTCACAAAGGGGCTCTCCCCACAACAGTTGTTTGTTGCTCCGGGACAATGATCCAACAATTGGTAGGTTTTTTTTGGGGTTGCTTGCAGTACTTGCAGTATTGTAGTACTGGGATTTGGCCCTGGGGCAGTTTGGGAATTTTATTAATGCGAGTGGTTTGGGGTTGTTTTTTAGTTTGGGTCCTGGGAGTATGACTCATCGGGATACAATGATGCTTGCCTTGGTTTGTGGCTAGGGGAAAGGGCTGCTTGAAATTCAGGAGGAAAACGGCAAGCGCAGGGGGGGATGAACCCTGCTTGCCAAAAGAGCCCACATTACATGTGGTGTCAGGATCAGCCCTTCGCACGGGGAGCCTACACGGGCTTCTTCGCTCCAGGCGTCATGTCAGTGCCTGCCTCTTGGCAGTCAGAGATTGGCTTGAGTTGTGCCTTTTTGTTTTGGGCGTGGTTGCGATGTCTGTGTTGCTCAACTTGCAATTGTTCGGTGTTCTCTCAGCTGCTTCTTATGCTTCTTGCGTTAGGGTGTGGATGGATCCCAGGAATGAATGCCTCAGGGACTCAAAGCGAGTCTTGATTGCTCGGGACATTTGCTGTTTGAAATGTCTCCTATCAGCAAACATGAGCTTAGACAGCATTTTTTCTGGGGCTATTTATTTTGGGAATTTTCCCGTTTTTCTTTGGGATTTTTTCCTGGATTTTGCCTTATCTGGCTTCTTAGCTTCTTGGCTTTTGGCCTTTGTCTTCTTGGAGTCTGGGCTTTTTAGCTTTTGGCTCGTGGCTTTTTTGTTTCTTGGCTTTTTTGCTTTTTTGCTTTTTGGCTCTTGGCTTTTTGGCTTTACTTTGTGGCCTTTGTGGCTTTGGCTTTCCGCATCCTCAGCATCACCAGTAACACCCCAGCATCTTGGCTTTTCGGATTTTTGGCTGGTGGCTTCTTCCCTCCCATGTTTCTGTAGAAGGGGGGGGGCTGCGCCCCCCCCATCCCCCCGCTTCTTCGTAGGCAACGAACCCCAATGAATCCAACGCCCACGGTCCTAAACTCACCAACCTTAAAAGCCAACCCTAAAGAAACCCTAAAGAAAACCTTAAACCAGCAAAACACACAAAGAAAACCCTAAACAAACCCACTCTAAACCAGCAAGAGACTATCCCTCAACTCTAAACCTGCCCTAAACCAACCCTAAACCCCAAACACAAATCCCGAGACCCACCCGAACCCCACCCAAAGCAACCCTAAGTCTGCACTACGTTTGTATTATTCTGTATTGATGCTGGTTTAGAGTGGGTTTGTATTATACGATGCGCACTAAGCCAGCACAAAGCCATTGCTAATAAGCCCACCTCAAACCTCAAACCACCCCCACTAAGCAAACCCTATAGCTCCCTAAAGCAACCCCAAACCAATCCCCAATTCCCAGTACACCAGCACTAAACCCAAACTAAACCCTTAACAAGCCCAAATCAAACGCGACACCAACCGCCCCCTACCCCCCCCCCCCCCCAAACAAACCAAACCAACACTAAACCATCCCACCTAAACACAACCACAGCCTAAACCAACTCTAAACTCACCCTAAACCAGCCCTAAACCCCTGAACCAACCCCCAAGAAGCCCACCATAAACCAGCACTAAACCATTTAGTAACTAAGCGCAGCCACCCCCGAACTTGCCTTAAACAAGCCTGGAACCCGTGAACCAACCCTAGCCAACCTAAACCCACCCTAAACCCAGCCTAACAAATCCAACTCGTGATGCTGAGGATGTTGAAAAGGATGCTGCCGAGTTAAAACGATGCCGGGGATGTTGACAGCGCTGGTGCAAAACGAGTCAAACCACAGAAGAACCAAGGGAGATCGCACCTGCCAGTTCCAAGACAGAAAATCCAGGAAAAAATCTCAAAACAAAACGGGAAAAAATCCCAAAACAAAACGGGAAAAAATCCCAAGACAAATCGGGACCCTTTTTTCACTCTAGAAAACAAATTGGATTCGCGCTTGTTTGGAGCATTCCACCTGTTCTTCTCCCCGTTGCTTTTTTAGTACTCTTTTAGTAGTCGTTCAAGATCCTTCGGGCGACCCACAAGCAGCACCCAAGTCGTAGATTTACACACTAGTGCCATCGGTGAAGGGGACGCTTTGCTCAAGGCTTTTTGGTCAGCGTTTCAGAAGATGGAGAAGCTGCCCAACGTCTTCCTGGCAGGCCATGCGTATCACCGGTGTGCAGCAATATCGTTTGTTGCTTGAACCAACCGGTCTTTGTGGGGGTTCTGTTTCAAACACGCATGTCCTTCATAGCTCCTTTTTTGCACGTGTTTATTTATGCGGGAATCAAAGGTCAAAGGGCTGCCAGCTAGTGACTATCCCAGCCGTGCATGCATGTATTCACAGAGAAGAGAATCAAGTAGGTTGCGCTGTGACAAGCAGTTGCAGGTTCAGACTACCACATTGGCTTTGGCAACGGGTACATCGAGGCAAGGCGGTAACTCCACGTATCTCTTTGGGTGCGGTGGTTGCAATGTGTGTTTTGGAGTTGTGTGTTGGAATCTTGATATTACGATTGCCATTGATCTCGCAATCATTGCTTCAACGGTTCTCAGGCTTTCTATGAGTATTGTTTGGGTATGATGATTCTCGTTTGTTGGCCAATGTCGGTCAAGTTGCTGGCTGGACACTGTTCTCAGAGGACGTAGGGCGGCTCCGCCTTCAATACGCGAATTGCCCAAGCAGTGTTCCTTTGATCTTTGTGCAGTTTCATGGGTGAGCTCCTTGAAGTCAGCATCCATGCAATGCCATCTTTGTTGATTGGGAACCTCGCCCTCTAGGTTCTCCCAATCAGGCATGCTACGCTGGTCCACAAGCATGAAGCTAAGGCACCGAACGTGTTTTTTCCTTTGAAATGCCCTGACAAGCTTTCTAATCGCTGGCGGGCGAGGAGAGTTCATTAGCATCTCAAAGAGGTTAACAGTGTCACGGTCTTCAGTTCACAAACCTCCGTAAGCCTGACCAGAAGGACAGTCAGTCTTTTGGTATGTGCAAGGGTTCACTTTCATGGAAGCGAGGATTCTGCATGTGCTTGCCCCCGCAGGGCGCTATCCGGGACGGCCAGCGAGCAGCGCAGATGGCGATGCTGAGGCTGCAACGCCCAGTGGTGGTGTAGAGGCGTGCAGGGTGCTTGACGCGTGGCAATGGGAGAGATTCTTTGTGGCAGGATGCCATATGTGAGCCATATGACTTGTTGTTTTGGGTTTTGTGTCATAGAAATGTTGCAGACATGGAAGCGCCCCGGGAGACTCATTTTGTGTGATGGAGGGCATAATTAGTGAGCTGGCGGGTGCTTGGCGTGGTCGGTCGGAATGTATGAGGAGACTCACATTCGGATTTCGAGAGGCACACAGGCATTGTGAGAAGGCGGGGGTCCCGTTAACGGCTGAAGCTGGAGGCAGGAATGTGCTGTGGAGCAGGATGACGGCGGACTGGCCAAGTTCGCAAGCCGCGACCGACAGGCGATGGCGCAGACCTTCGGGCCAATGCCGCGCGGGTACCGTGAAAAGATGCCGGCCTGCTTCCGCTCATGCTGCGCAGACCCGTGCCACGCAAATGCCTCTTATCGCCGTATGCTCACGACATCAGAATTGCCTTCGTGGCGGCATTTTTGCCATGTGCAGCTGAATTAATTTGTATGACCGTCGTCAATGTTGTTATGACGTTGCTATATATTTGCTCAGGATGTACTCCTTGTACCCCTGCGAACTTGGGGTTCCATACCAGTTGTTCGAGGAATTATGTAAAATGCGGCTCGAACAATCGACTTTTTAGGCTTCGGGGGTGCAGGGCTACGACAAAAAAACAAGCACACAACATTAGGCCATCAGGCCTTGACTGTCGGTTTGCCCTAGGCGGCTGACCTCCATCATGGTCCTTGGGCATGGGCGCAAGCAACTCTGAGGTGCACCCGTCATGGCCAAGCCATTGCGGCGCTGGGTTTGTCTTTAGCAGCCGTGGCCTTGGAGCCCGGGCCCAGCAACTTGAACCATTTGCAGCTCAGAGGGATGTTGAGCAGCACCACTCATCTTGGCCGATTCCGGGGGATCGTTTGAAGCTCCGACTCAGGGGATGACTTGGCAAATGGCCACACTGTCGGACCAGTCAAAGACGAAGAAGAAGAAGAAGAAACAAAAAAAACGCATGCGCCTGGCGCGGAGTAGGCAAGTCTTTGGCCAAGTCCAGCGTTTTTCACCCATTGAACCACCCCCTTTCTCCAGCTGGATTTGGGCAGGCCGGGTTGTGCACCAGTGTATGTGTGCACAGGCCTGGGATCAATAGAAAAGATGGGAGCGGAACAAATAGATTCAAACTGCGCACCAGTTGCCACAAGAGCTGCACAATATCGGCCCGGTGCCTGATATGTTGAACATGCTGGTTCCGACTTGTATGCCCTTCAGACAGTCGGCATCAGCCCAGTTGAATGGAGGTATGGTGTGTAGAGGCAAGAATTCTGGGCTTTTCAGTGCCCCGGAAACCAGCAAGAAAGTGTGTGTGTGTGTGTGTGTGGCTCTTTGGAGGCAGTTTCCCTGGGCGCTGGTTCGTTGAAGCTCGTTATAAGGGTGCTGGCAAGGTGCTTTGCTACACTCGTCAGCAACAGGCATGTGAAGGGCCCGCTCTACGTCAATGCCAAGCTTATACGCAGCTGTGGCTTGCAAAATTGAGGGGTCATTCTCGAAGAAACGCGTGGCTGCTAAGCTGCATGGTGTACAGCAGATGTGGTGTGAAAACAGTGTTTACCAAAAAGGGATGGTGAGTTGTTAAATCCAGATCCCTCCCACCCCCTTGACTTTCCTGAATTCCAGGGGCTGCTTTCAGGTCAGCCTGCGGCCCCGACGGGCCCGCAGCGCGCTACGGTCGGTGGCGGCGCGGGCCGAAGAGAGCGTTCCCTTTGGCCTTTGAATCGGCATCCCCCTTGTAGTTTTCAACAAGACAAGAGTTTTGCACATAGATTCTCAGATACAAGCATGATCAATTGTAGCCCCATGAATTCGAGTTTCGTATTTTGTTCGCTTGAGCTTGCAAAGTCCTAGCAAGCCGCCCACCTCAATCGAAAGGTGATGATGCCAGCAACACGCAAACGCAAAATGCATCCAAATTTGTCTTTGGCAAAGCATGCTGGCGGCAGCGCATTGGTAGGTGCCGATGCAGAAAACAAGCAAGATCCTGTCCCACAATAAGCCCTGCTATTTATGGAGCCTGAAACACCCCACGTGGATATAATGTGGACGTCTTCTAGGATCTCGCATGAAGTCCCGAGTTCTGCTTGATTGGGTTTCCACGGGTGGCTTGACCAGCAAATCAGAAGGCCAGTGCTGAACGGGGCCGAAAAGTTTGGCACGGTTGTCGGAGGAATCTGCTAGGAAGGTTCGCAAGGTTCCGAGCTTGGACTAGTGGTGTGCGGATTCTACCTGAACGCATTTGTTTTGAGGGTCGGTATTGTAGCGCTATACTTTGCAGGATGGGTTCCTGCGGGTACAGCCCATCTCCTTTCAGGGCTCACAGAGCCTGTTAGCCTTTAGCGCGGGATTCGTTCGCCAGGAATTGCAGGAGATGCAGGAGACTCGCTTTGACACGCTGAAAGTCAGGCACGGTTGCAGCTTCACTTAGCAGGTGAGCACGTGCTAATTGCCTCAACAGGCAGGCTCATCGATCCCCCAATTATGCCCGATACCGGTCAACGTCGAGACCTATGTTTCTTGCAAGGTTTTCCAAGCCTTTGGCCGAAAGCGTCGCAACGGACAAGGCTGAATTACGTTTCCGGAGGGTTAGGATCGACCTAGCATCATCTTGCAAGTTCTCGGTGCCAAGCCATGTGCAGCGTTGGGTCTGCCAGTCTTGGAATCACTACGAGTGTGCTTGTGCTTGGGTTGAATCTTCATGGAGCAGTGGTTGACATGTTGCAACCTCGTGCGTCTAGCTGGGGTTGGAGCTTTTTCGTGGTCCGCTTGACCAGGGATTAAGCCATGCTTTGCTTGGAGTCGCAGGCAGGGGGTGCTGAGCAACGGCATGCGGTACCTGGTGCTGCGCCACACCGTGCCCAAGGGCCGCTTTGAGGCCGTGCCAAGCGCTAGGCATCGTGTCTTGGGATAGTTTTCAGTGGCCCCATGTGGCCCACCAAAGGTGAATTGGAGATGGTCCCAACCCAAACCTTTTGAGACTTGAAATGGATCAAACGTTGTTTCAGTTGCATTGCTCATAGCGCAGCCTCTGGCAGAGTTCCCAGGCACATTTAGAGTTCCACGTGGGCTCAGTGGACGAGCAGGAGGCCCCAATTCGCATGTCTGTGCAGCGAGTGCATTTTGTGCTTTTGCATGTTCAATAGCTTTCGGCAAGATGCAGGAGGGGAGACTTTTAAATGGCGTGGCTGGCGTGAAGTATGGCCTGCCAGCTGCAGCTACAGACTGATATGTAGTATGTATGAGCTTAGGTGGGAAGGGGACGTGCTCACAACCTCGCACAAGCTAATTTCCTGTCCGAAATGGACGCTGGGCTACTGGCACATCGTCGGCATTCGTTCGTGCCAGGATCAGCGGGGCATGGCGCACATGCTGGAACACGCTCGCTTCCCAGAGTGCGGATGTTCGATGACAGCGATAAAAGGGATGGGACCACTTAGTGGCTGGAGCACCTGGCATTTGAGCTCTATTTGCAATCAAACACGGACGATGTTGAGAAAAGCTTACTTGATTGCGTATCATTTCAGTGCTAGTCCCAAGAGGCATGCTGGCTGGTGTCAATCCGCATGCAAGCTGCTTCTCTCCGTGTGCGCTTGAGCCATCTTCAATCCAGATCTGCTTCCTGGGCAGCTCGAAGCGCGTGCAGCTTCAAAGTAGCGGCCTTGGCCAGGACCTCGGGCCACCAGTGAATGGCGCGCAAGCGGATTGTCATGCTCTCTGGCTTGATCGCCAGTGAGTCATCAGATGAGTCTGATTCACATTTCGAAAATGTGGTTTTTCGGGTCTGCCCTGGCGCGGGATGATATGGGATGATACTGAGCTTTGCAGTTGGCTCTGCCAGGCATGACCAGCAACGCTTGCACTGACTTCAACCATACTGTCCTGGCCTGAGATGACTGCACACAAGTATGCGAAATGCGAATCATGAAGCTTCAATGGCTGGTTGGCTCGACAAGTGCGTCGGGCGGTTTTGAGCCTCCCTCTCAGCCAATGCACTTGCACATCCACCTCAAATTATTACCTCCAATGGCTTGCGCTAATTTCCACCCGTGAGGTTTACTACGTGAGCATTGGCTCAGAACACCTCGGAGAAGGCTTGAAGGCCAGGGGCCCTGGATTGTCCGAAGGCGTCCTGATCGGGTGTCCCCATGCAGACTTGCTTCCAAAATTACGTATGTTCCGGCATCTGTGGGAAGAAACATATTGCGAATGCCTCATCCGTGTCCCCATTGTGCTGGCCTCAGTCCGTACAGATTTTTGTTTAGCCAATTGTTTGAAGCGCGAATGAAAACATGCATATGCTTGACTCTTTGATGCTATTTCCGTTTTGGCTTTTGGAGGATCGCTTGCAGCAAGGGAGGGGGCAGAGCCTTGTGCACGGGCAATGCCCGCTCAGTGTTGGCGCGAGATGGCTTTGTCTTGGGCATGGGTGAAACGGCTGCCCCCATTGAAATTTCCTCGTTAGGAGCGTTTGTTCGAGTCCGTCACGCATTCCATGTTCATTCCGGAGCGATCTGGGTGCTCTCTCTTTTGACGTTATGACCCCTCAAGTTTCCTTCATTTCCCTTTGCAGCGGTCAACAAGATATTGTTCAATTGGGTGAAAGCAGTTAGATGACACATTTTGGCTTGGTCATCCTTTTTACTTAAAGGATATTGTGCCATCTACTTTTGCCCTAGTGCAACTTTTGCATGGCCTAAGTCTGGCCAAGTGTCTGGCCGACTGGCCAGGTCTTAGCTGACATCGGCACGGGCCCCAGCGCTATTCGCACGGCAGACGGACATGTAGTGACAATCTCTAGCTTTCATTCTGGATGTTCGGGCCTGGCGTCCGAGTGATGTGGTTGGGATCTGGATTCCGCCCTTTCCCTGCATTTTCTGAGTTACTTGCTTACGTGGGGTTTTTGGAGAAGAACATTCGCGGCTGATGGCTGATACCTTGCAAGATGCCCTGCAGCAAAGGATTCGAGCCAGCTTTCGAACCTGAGCGGGTGGAAAAGGACAGAGCTTCGTCACGTAATTAGAAGTCGTGGAGCGCGTCCTG